TCCTACTGAGATGTAGCCACAAGTCGCTGGTGACCTTGACAATGAAGATGAATGGAAACTTAGGGTGGTGCGAAAGGGATCATGAGAGCAGGCGCCACCCAATAGGGGCAATGACTATTCTTTATCTTCTTCACATTATAGCCAAAATGTGTTGATTTATTCATTCCCTAAATATTTATGAAGCACCTAATGTGCTGGGCACTGTGTTCAGAGCTGCGGATAAGACAGCAAGTCCTTGAGGCCCTTGGTCGCCAGCAGGAGATGGATACTCTCACTCATATCACAGGCTGTGTCATGGAGATGCACGTCAGCGGCTTTGCAACACTCGGAGCCCATTCTACCAGGGAGTGGGGAGGGGCGGGTAGGAAAGTTCCTAACAAGCCCAGGAGAGGAACGTGAGTTCTGCCTTGGGGTTGTCACTGGGGCCATCCACTGAAGAAGTTCAGATCTCAGCCAGCAGGGGAAGAATGGCACTCCAGGACCTCCTGGTGGTTTGGTGGGACCCTGGGACTGGCTTTGGCCAATGAGTGGTAGGTAGCGGTGAGCATGTCCCTTCCAGGCCAGCGTGCATACTCCCTTGCCAGTGCCAGTGTCAGATCCTCCAGAGGTCTCTCTCTGGCATGGCGAGCGGCCAGGTTTCAGACTGCGGCTGCTCCCAGGTACCTGAGTAGCTGCCCCCAAGACAGCATTCAGGGGAAGAAAAACTGTTTTCCCTTTGTCCATCTTAGGTTCCTTGGCTGGAGGTCTATAAATTAGATCAACGAAAGACAGATTAACAAGAGAAAGACAAACAGAAATTTATGAACATGTGCATCGTGCATACACACAGGAGCTCTCAGTAATGAGTAACTCAAAGGAGTGATTAGAACTTCAGCTTGTATCACATCTGAACAAAAGAACAATACATTTTTGGCAAAGGGACAAGACAAAGGAAAAAAGACTTTGAGCTTCTAGGGGTGGCAAATTGTGGGAAGGCAAATATATGGGGACCTAGTGGTAGATAAGGGCTAGTTTTAGCAAAATTAGTTAGATAGATCCCTCTGGCGCTGTCTCTGGGCTGATAAGGATCTAGAGCTGTCACCCGTGATTAATGTCTGCCCTTCCTGGTGGGGGTGGGGGTGGGGGGGAACACCTTTAAAAATTTATGTCCTGCTTTTACATAAATAGGGGAAGGGCAGAGGGTTTTTCATGTATCTGCTTCTTCCCATTTGCCTTCAGCTTAAAATAATCCTTATGCCAAAGTGGCATATTTGGGGATTGCGTATTTTGCCACCCAGAAGCAAACTTTTTGTGATTTGTTATAGTCACCATGGCATAACCTAGCCCAGTGGTTCTCAAAGTGGGGTCCCTGGACCAGCAGCCTGAGTTTCACCTGGGAACTTGCTGGAAATACAAATTATTGAGCACCACCTCGAACTTACTGAACCTCACTCCCTGGGGTGGGGCTCAGACCTGTGAGTTTTAATACACCTTCCAGGAGATTCTGAGGCATGCTCAGCATTGAGAACCACTGCCCTAGCTGGTGCTGACTGCCTACAGCCATCTGAAAAGCAGAGCAAGAGGAATTAGAATTTATAGAGAAGGTCATTCCAGTAAACTTGAAAAAACCAAGTAAGAAGAATTAAATGGTGAGGTTCTTCCTGTCACAGGAAAAAATTTTTAAGAAAAAAAAAAGATATCGTATCTATCCCCAGACTGAGTCTTCCTACTAAAATGGCCAAAACTATTTGGCCTTGTGGAGAGTCTCCAACTATGTCTCATCAGAAGAAAGCAGCATCATGGAGGGGATACTCCGAATCCAGCGGCACTGAAGCCAGACCGAGGGCCTGAGATAAACCCAGAAATGCATTTCCCATTTGTCCCCATGGCCTTGCTGACTTAGAAAATGCTCCTGGGGTGCCTGGGTGGCTCAGTTGGTTAAGCGACTGCCTTCGGCTCAGGTCATGATCCTGGAGTCCCGGGATCGAGTCCCATATCGGGCTCCTTGCTCAGCAGGGGGGTCTGCTTCTCCCTCTGACCCTCCCCCCTCTCATGTGCTCTCTCTCTCATTCTCTCTCTCAAATAAATAAATAAAATCTTAAAAAAAAAAAAAGAAAATGCTCCTGAATGCTTTGAATCTGAAAGGTGCATAAAACCCAATTCTCTCTTCTGCAGGGTGAGTCCTTAGAGATGGAGTGGAGGCTATTTGGTAATGGGCACTATTTAAATGAAGCAAAAAGTACAATTCAAACGAATTGCTTTTTAAACTGTCAAAGAAGAATCCATTTGTGCATGTGAAATTATTCCAAGGGTTCTAACTATTAACTGAAAGCAGGTGGAAGCGGTCAAAGAAAACAAATGTGCTATAAAAGAGCCGGCTAAACGTTTAAAGGCAGACACCTGATCACTCCTTTGGCCTGTTTCGGATTCAAAAATTTGTTTTAAAAAGCCCTAGGTGGGCTCCACGGATGGAAGTTTTAAGAAATTTTTAAATCCTAGTAAGCGGATGCCATTTTGTTTCTTGGACTTGTTTTAATCAATGTGACCCGAAGGCTGTCTTATGGATAGGACAACAGCATATTAACATTTTAACTTTTTCTTTTGGCTTCCATTCGATGCCAAAGGCTCTTGGCTGGCTTTCCAAATGATGCATTTCACACATTCTTGGGTTTTCTATTTGCTATTGATAAATGCATCCGTGTACAGCCAAGTCAATGAGAAGAAAATTCTTCAATAGTATGAAAAGTGCCTTTTTATCCCTGGCAGGCAGGATTGGTAAGTCACCCATATGGAGCAGAAGCCTTAATGGTATGTGAGGCATCTCTGTAGGCCACAGGGAGCCCTGCGCTGTTCTATAGGAGACCAACAGTGGCCTTTTCCATTTCATTTCCTCTAGGGGTTTCCACTGCAATTAGTCTTGTGTTCATGCCTTCAGTGTCTTGTAGGCACTGAAATAGGGCTGCTGAAAAATAGTGAGCCTTCTTCCTTTCCTGGCCCTCTAAGTACCTCTTACTTGTGCTCCTATGCCAGACTAACAAACACAATTATCTGTGCTTAGACCAAGAGGAATCGTGTAGATGGTGACCAGCTCAGGGCACGGGGACAGGCTCAAATGGGCCATGCTTCTCACACTTGGATGTGCACACAAATCTCCAGGAGGTATTGTGAAAAAATGCACGTTCAGACTCAATAGATCTGGGCTGGTGCCTTGGAGCCTACATTTCTTGCAAGTTCCCAGGCAGTGCTCATGCTCTGGTGGACCACATATTGAGTAGTGAGGGAATAATGCAGGTTCTGCATAAGTGACTTTTAGAACTGACCTATTAAATATAGGTGTAGCCGAGGGTCTGGCTCCCCTTTGATTTAGGGTTCCTTGAAAGCAGGGACTAGATCTTACACTTTTTTTTTTTTTTGGTTGTTTTGTTTTGTCCTCTGGCTGGCACTTGGCACAGGTCCCTGCACACGGTGGGTGTGTATTTATTTAATTAAACAGATCTGGCTTTGTTCCAAAAAGGATTTTAAGTGGATTTAACCCCTAGCGGGTCCTAAGCTAGGTAGGTGCGTGCTGAACTGGCCAGGGAGGGAAGTCAGTTCCGAGGTGCATTCACAAACCCTCTGGGCTGAGGCCCTTCCTCCGCAGGGCCCCACCGCTTGCTTGCACCTCGATGCCACTCCAGCAGCTCTTCTCAAATTCTCCCTCCTGGTTTACACTAGAGAGTCGATCAGAGACAAGGAGGAAAACAAAACCAGACCAAACCAGAGAGCCCTACGAAGCGGTAAGGCTGCAGAACATCAAAAGCTCAACTCAGGGCGGCAAGGCCACGGAACTCTGGGGTTTCTCCCACTGCCTGATCTGGAGCATTTCGCAGGTCGGCACTGCGCCCCAGCCGCCGGCTCCCCCGCCCGCCCCGAGAGCCCTGCAGGAGCGGTCCCGGCGGGCGCGGGCGCCTGTTGGCTTGGTGCAAGCCTGTTTGTTAGCTCCGCTCGAGCAATTAATCTTCTCGTGCATCTCCCACCCCGGGTGGGGTGGGGAGAGCGGGGGGGGGGGGGCTCGGGTCGCCTCGGGGGTCGTGGGGAGCCTGCACAGGAGCGGCCGTGCGACAGAAACCCTGTTCCAAGAGTCCCTGCGTTGCCAGAACCCGTTCCTCTCTGCAGCGGCCTCGGAGGGAAGAGAAGGGATGGTTTCGGCTCCAGAGGGGAGGGAGGGGGGCGATTATATTGGTCAGTAGTTGAGCCTCACGGGGGAAGGGAGGAGCGCACGGGCGAGTGCGCCCTCGGGGAGGAGTACACGTGCTGAGGAGGGGGGTGAGAGGCGGGCGGGAGGGGAGGAGAAGGGAGGCGAGAGCCGCGGGCGGGAGGCGCCACGGCCTCGCAGACGCAGGCGCCGGCAGCCGGAGAGAAAGTTCCCGGGGAGAGCTCACCCCCGGGAGGGCTGACGTCGAGGCCGTTCGCCGCGAGGGTCGCAGGTCCCGGGGGGCCCCAGCCTGCCTTCTCCCCGCGCGCGCGCGCTGGGCCGCCCGGGCTTGGGCTCGCCGGGAAGCAGGGGAGCGGTGCTGTTGGGCGGCCGCCGCCAAACTTGGAGGGGGAGAAGGCTGCGAGTGGGAGCGGCGGCGCGGGGCGCGGGGGCGCACTGAGTGCTCCCCGCGGGCGCCCCCGGGCACTGCTGCCGGGGCTGCGGCCGGGCGAGCGCGCGGAGGCTGAGCGGGCAGGTAGCGGCTCCAGCGCCGGGACTGCGCCAGCCCTACGAGCCAGGGCCGCCAGCGCCACCGTGCCGGCGTCGCCTCCTCGCCCCGGAGCCATGGTGCGCGGAGCGCGCACGCCGCGCGCGGGACTCTGAGCTCCGGCTGCGCCGCGCGCCCTCACCTCCCTTCTCCCGGCCTCCCCGCCGACCTTGCCCGCGGGCCATGAAGCTTTGGCCGGGAGCCTCTCGCCTCTGAGCTTCGCGTCGCTCCGCCACAGATCGCGCTCCGGCCGCCGAAGCTCCCCATCCGCTCCCAGGGACGGCACCCGGGCGCTCCAGGATGGCCCTCCGCGGGTGCCTCCGGCCGCGCAAAGTTCGCAGGAGGCGAGAGATGCTGCCGCAGCAAGTTGGCTTCGTGTGCGCGGTGCTGGCCGTGGTGTGCTGTGCCTCCGGCCTCTTTGGCAGCCTGGGTAGGTGCCGGTGCGGGCCCGCCCCGGGGGTTGAGGGGCTCGGGCTGGGAAGCCGCCGGGTAGCTCCGAGATGTCTCCCCTTCCTTCCCCGTCAGCTTGGTCCCTGGGGTTCATCCAGCCCCGTCCCCTCCCCACCGGGCAGGTAGAGCGCACCCAGGAGGGCTGACATCGACGCTTTGAGCTGTGGCGCTCGTTTCCCTGAGCTGCGCGCGGCCCCTGGGGGCTCAGGACGCGGCTGCAGGTCTGTGTTACCAAGATGAAAGCCTGAACATCGGGCCCGTCCGTGCCAGAGTTCTGTCCCCAGAGTGCGTGGGGGAACGCGCGGCGCAGAGGCGGGGTGCAGGTGTGAATTCTCTTAGCCTGGGGCGGACCAAGCTGAGTGGTCCGCTTTCCAGTTTTGCGGACCCAAGACGGTTGTGCTCCGCGTTTCTCGAAAACCCAGATACGGAGGCTGGGAACTGAGTCTCAGCCCTCCCGTCGCCCCTTGCCGAAGGAGTGCCCTGGGTGTCCTGGCGCATCCTATCCAAACCCTAAAAACGTCGAGGGCAGCCCCCTTAGGAGGTTGCTGCCAGGTTTCAGCATCGCTTAACTTCTCTTCATCCCCACGGCAGGAGAGCCCTGGTGTCTGGAACCACAATTCACACTTCTTCATCCAAGACTGAGGGATTTGGGAGTTGCTTAGGATATGCAGATTTGAGGTGGAGAGAGAAAGAAACTTAGAAAAAAAATCTGGGGTGGAATGGGGGATGTGAGCCCATGTGGAATTTTCAGAAGCCATTCACTTGGCTAATACTCCCATTTTTAGTTGGACACGGTGGGCCTTTTACTTCTTCACATTAAAAAAAAAAAAAACCAAAGAAATGCAGGTGATTTAGCAATCTGGACATGGAGATAAAACAGGGGGTGCCTTCTGAGCAATTAGACCATCTAGAGCGGTTTATAGTGGTAGGTAAAAATCAGGTGGGACTTGATTAAAGACTTAAAAAACTGCTTTTCAAGACCCCAACTTGTGATTTGAGGATAGAAGGTCAAAACATGGCTCTTTCCAACAGAAACCCAGAAAGGTTATTTGAACATCTTAACCTGATGCTTTGCAATTGGTCAAGTCAGTGTATTTTTCCCCCTCAGTTACACACCAGAAATAACAAAGTACTTAGAGGCTCTTCGGTGTCAGCATTATAGAAGAGGTATTATTACCCAGCTGAGGCAGTGTGCACATGAGGAGAGGTAAATGAATACTCTGAAGCTCTTAAAGTGAGAATCGTTCATATTTGCTGGATCAGGAATTACCTTTAGGAGTTTAACTGTGTGGTCACTGGCCTCCACACCACTACTCTCCCTTGTTACTCTGTCGCCCTCGGACCAGCAGAATTAGCATCTGTACTAACAATCACCTGTTAGTACAGAATCCCAAGGCCCAGCCCAGACCTACTGAAACAGAATCTGTATTTCGACGAGGTCCCCAGGTGATTTCTGTGCACATTCAAGGCTGAGAAGCTCCGGGCCAGACCCCCTCAACCTTCTCCACCTATCTGCTGACCTAATAGCCATTTGCAGTTCCCCTGGGGGCAGGGACACCTGTCTAAATCCTTGTTGCACCTGTGAGGGGCCGAGCCCTCTTGGCCAAGGTCAGATCATGGGCTGACGCATCTGGGACTAGAAACAATGGACCAGATCTAGGAAACAGATTACTGTGTGTGAAGCAGGTGATATTGTGCTTCCAATCATTGTATTACTCCCAACAGGTGGCTCTAAATAGTCACACAGGGCTGTTGCTGGTGTAGCCAGAGGCAGACATGTAAGGTCATTGGAAGAATGGAGGCACCATATTGACCTAATGGTGTTTGTGACTTATTTTCCAATACAGGGCATAAAACAGCTGCTGTTAGCAAGCATGTTCTACCAGACACATGGAGACATAGAAGGCTGATGGCACCTGTGAACGGGACTCAGACAGCTAGGAATTGCACAGATCCTGGTAAGAAATCAATCTCCCCCTTGCCTCAAGGCATTTGGCCTGGAGATGGTGCTTCTGTAGACATTACAGCCAGAGCTGAGAAAGGTGATTTGATGAACCCAGTGGGAAAGGGTAGCTGTAAGGTGTAGACAGGTAACGTGCAGGCATTAATCGGTTGTGCTGCTAAGCAACTCAAGTACTTTCTTTACCCAGCAACGGGAAAGGTCACATTGGAGAGTTTTGAAATTTCCTTTTTTGTTCTCACAATGCTCCTAAAGGCTCCGTGTTTCCCCCTGCTGTCTTGATTGTGCTCGCCTGGGTGTCTTTGTTTTCGTTCCCTTTTGCTCACGGTATCCATCTGACGGACCTCAAGGGGCAGCAAGACTGCTCTGGCAGGTGGCACTTTGGGATGACCCGCCCACCAGGGTCGCAACACGCCAGGGCACCTGCAGGGGTAGGACACTCTGGAGTGCTGGGGTCCTCTCTCTACAGTGGGAGTTCCCAGGGTACGGTGCTGGCTCGGAGGGGATGGATTCTTCTTGCTGTGGGAGGTGGTCTTGCTGTTCCCTTTCAGAATTCTCTAGGGGGTCGGAGGCTGTAGGGACCCAGAGATGACCTCTTATCTGTCCTGCCAGGGGCAGGTTTTCCTTAAATGGGTGAAGAAGATTCTCCGGAGTGTGCCAGCAAGCGGTGAGGCAAATGGAAGCTGCCCAGGCCTCAGGGCAGTCCTGGGCCAGAACTCTGTCTCCAACAGAGTCTTTGTGGGAAAGATCCAGTGGGATGAAGCATTCAAAAGCCCGCTGAGACCTTTGAGGTCTTACTGCAGATGGGTGCCACTTGGCTCTTCCACCGCATTGCCCGGCAAGTCACAGCATCTTTGGGGGTCTGTTTTCCCACCTGTGAAATGGGCAGAATTGTACTTCCTGTTCTGGGGTTGTTGGGGGAAATCTGTTAAGGCCCTGGCTGGGGCTGGGTGTAAATGGGAATGGAAACCCAGGTTTTGATGGCATTCTTCCTCACTTGTGTTCATAGGCAGGTCTTCTCTGCATTCTATAGGTCAGGAGATCTCTAGGGGAAGACATGAGTTGCTCAGAGTCATAAATCTTGTTAAGTGGTGAAGCATTGGAACCTCAGCTTGTGTGATTAAAATATATGTTTGGTTCTCTGGGCATAAGGAGGTCAGGGCTGTCTCTCAAAGCCTGTCTGCTCCACCATCAACCCCCCTTCCCTCAGGATGCCTTCTGAGAAGGCCTTGTGGGACATGGAGGGTAGGTGAGTCCAGGCTTGTAGAGAAGCTGCCGGGATTCCCTTTGAACTTGGACCATCCATTCCTGAGAGATTCCTGGTGAGTCACTCTGTCTGCGATGGTGCTCATCCCGTCATTTAACATCCCTCAGACCTCTCTCATTACCAGAAGCAGTGGAGGCATGGACTGGACTGACAGGTGGCCTGTGTAAGGCCAGAGGTTAACACTGGGGTCCATGTCCTCCAGGGACCCGAGACACGAGGATCGGCACCAGCTGCAGGGGCCGGGGATGCTTTGCTACTCTGGGTAAAGAATCCAGGGTAGTGCAGCTTTGGTTTCTTCCTCGCTGGTGCCCTCACTTTGGGCAGGCTCTGCCCTCCTCCTGTAACTTCTGTCACCTGTAGTCTGGCCACATCGGCGTAGACAGGGCCCTGTTTCTTGGGATAGAGTCTCATGTGCTCCCGCATTGTCCCGTATCTTCAGTGTACTTTCTCATCCAAAATTATCTGACTGACTGTGGAGCAATCAGTCCTATTTGGCAGGAAGACCTGGCCTTGTCCCCCTTATGGAGAGGGAAATGAAGGGAAATCAGCATTATCTTTAGCAATAATGAACCCTTAGATTATGCTTCTTTTTTAAAAATTTTTAAAGATTATTCATTAGAGATCGTGAGAGAGCATAAGCAGAGGGAAGGGCAGAATCCCCACGAAGCAGGGAACCAGACGAGGGGCTTGATCCCAGGACCCTGAGGTCACGACCTGAGCCGAAGGCAGACCCTTAACCGACTGAACCACGCAGTCGCCCCTGGGTTATGCTTTTTGTTAACTGTTTCTGGGATAGGGCCCTGCGTGTAGGAAGGACTCCATGAAGTTTGGTCGAATGATGGAATGAAAGTGCATTTCAACTATGAAGCACTTTTATCCTTTCAGTGTTTTTGCAAAGATGAGGAACGGGGCAGGGCTCAGAAGCTTAGTGACTCCCCAAGACCTCTTGGCAGGCAGGTGCATCCCTGGTTCACCTGGGCCCAGATCCCATGGCTTCCCCACTCCATCGCACCTGCCCTAGCTTTCCTTCCCGCCCAGGCGGGGCTGAGACCCGACTTCCCTTCCAGCCACCTGGGCCCTGGGCCCCCTTTCCAGTTCACAAGCATGTACACAGCATGCACTTGCTGTTGTCTCTCCTACCCTGTGGTGGGCACGTGGCGGCGGTGGGTTGGGGAGGGCGTGGTATAAGCAAGCATGAGAGACAGCCCTTGTCATCAAGTAGCTTACGGTTGTGGAGAAGACCAGCTCCCGACACAGGGAAAACTCGGTGAGGAAGAAGGACGGCAGAGGTCTTGTAGTCAGCAGCCCCAGGGGGCCACTTTCAGGGGGCTCAGAGGAGGGTGACTGGGTCTGATGCGGTGTGTGGAGTCTTGTGGTCTAGATGAGGAAGGCCTCGATGGCAAAGACAGGAAACTTCCCCAGACTGGGTTTAGCGGAAAAAGGGAAATTTATTGGGCCAGTCACTGAACGCGTGAGATCAAAGGTTAAGTGTCATGACTCAGTTTCCCTCTGTCTCTGGACTCCGAAGTCCTCCAGTGTGGGAAGGTGGTTACCACGGCCCCAGCTTTCTGGCCTCCCAGACCGCAGCACGTGTGCCCCAATGTCTGCCATCCTTCCGTGGGAGTTCTGAAGTCCTATGGGCTTGGGGCACATGGCCCCCTCAGCTGCTTGCGGGGCCGGGGGAGGGCTGGGTGTGGGCTGGCTTAGACCTGAGTCTCAGGCTCTGCTTCTGGAATGCTGCTTCGGTAAAGGTGGACCAGAGTTTCCTCCCACTTAGAGTTTCGGGGTGTGACGGAGGGTGGCACCCGCTGGCTGCCCTCTTCCCTCCACGGGTAAAGGAGTTGCCTGGGAAGAACCATACGGGGGTTTCTTGCATCCTCTGAGGCTTCTGCTCTGCATCCATTCCACCAGTCCTGGTCTACTAGGTGAGGTCTTCTAGGGACGTGGGAAGATGGAGCTTTAAGAATTTCCTGCTGTGTCAGAGTATCCCGAGCTAAAGCACCCGCATCCCCCACCCCAGTCAGCATTCAACAGGTCAGTTCATGTTTTTGTAAGAACATCTTTGTTGGGGGGGGGGGGGGAATGGGTCTTATTTTCTGTAGCCTCTGAGTGTTCCTTCTCCCCTGTGAGAGGAATAGCTTCTCCTGTGGAAAAGCTTCAGGGCACCCTGCTCTAGTCGTTCCTGAAGACTTGGTGTGGAAAATGGGCTCTTGGCTCTGCCTGGGGTCACTTCCCCAGGTCTTGCTGGTGTTCTCATCCCATGGTGTGTGTTGTGCTTAAGTGCGTCCCCCATCACGTTACCCTATATTTTTATGACCTGTATCACCATCTAAAGTAACCTACTTGTCATCCGTTCCTCTTGAGGGCTCCCTTGCTCACTGCCCTGTGTCCAGAAGAGTGATCCCTAACCCTGCCCTCATCTTGCAGTCAGGGAAGAGCTTCTGAAATGCCCAAGACCCAGCCCTGGAGTGGCTGCCGTCACGGGTCTGGGGATGGGACCCAGGAAGCAATATTTTTTAAGAGCTCCCAGGTGAGTCCGAGATGAAGCCAGGGGTGGTGCTCTCTGGGCGAGAGTCCTGCTGTCCGGGGTGGTTGGCATCACCAGGCAGCTTTCTGGGAATGCAGAGTGTCAGGCCCACCCCAGGCCTTCTGCATCAGAATCTGCATCCTAACCAGATCCTGGGGCAATGTGCATGCACCCCACAGGCAGAGAAGAACTGGGCTAGGACGCTGCCTGACCCTTCAGAGGAGTCCAGTAAATATTTGGATGTTGAATGAAGGCTAAGACATGGTGTAACACAGAGATTTTCTTGAAAACCAGTTTGGTGTCGTTTTTGAATGTAGAGAAATTATATATAAAAAAAAAAATCTTCATCTTTGACTACTGAGGTCTGGGGGGAAGTCATTAATTTATCCTCCCCCCCGAGATCTGGGCCTCTAGGACCTAGATTTTTATTTCATGGTCTGTGAAGAGCAAGCACTACAAAAGAGAAGTGGGTCCCTCCACATAAAATGCATGAAATAGTGAGAGGCTGCGACTTTGAGTCTTCTGGACTCTGTCTTAGCTCAGGCTGTCATAACAAAATATCGGAGACGGGGTGCCTTAATTTAATTGACAGACCCGTATTTCTCACCGTTCTGGAGGCTGGGAGGGTCCAGGGATGGTTCCTGGTTTGCAGATGGCCACCCCACGTCACTGTGGGCTCACTGGGTAGAGAGAGAGAATCTGGGCTCTGGGCTCTCTTCCTCTTCTCCCATCCAAGTACTAACCAGGCCCAATCCTGCTTTCTCCCTCTCCTCGTGAGGGCACGAATCCCATCATGGGGAGACCCCATCCTCATGACCCCCTCCAAATTACCTCCCAGAGGCCGCACCTCCAGGTCCCACCACCTTAGGAGAGGAGGGATTCAACACAGGAATCTGGGGAGACGCAGACCTTCAGGAACCAAAGAGTTTCTGCACATTTGCTTTTTAAACCCAGCGTCTGCTTCAGTTTTTCCTTCTGGGATAGTAAAGGGGGTGATAATCGCATCCACCTCAGAGGGTTGTTAGAAATAAATGAGTTAATACCCAGGAAGCACTTAACACACATGCTCAGATGTGAGCTTCTGTTTTCATTATTTTTTTTTCTTATCTGCTTACCCCAGACATGATACAAGGCCTACGAATCACAGGTACTGGAAAACTCTTTGTTACTTGAATTTTATGAGGACAAGGTAAGAAGTAAGCAT